CATGAGCTTCCGCAAGCCTTTCCGCAAGCCTTTCCGCGAAGGGCTTGCTTCTGCGGACCTTCCGCGTCCTTCCGCGCACACAGGAAAACCTCGTTTTCGGACCAAGATTTGATGAGTTTCCGTGTTGCGCACTTATAATTGATCTACCAAAAAAACGCTGCTCATTTGCAGCTCCTCAAATGAGGATTGTCTGGAGACACTTGTGCATGTAAGAAACAACTTCCCAGCACGTTTTAGGTTTCGAGTAACTTCTGTCGTTTGAAAGCACACTTTTGTTCAAACAACTTCTTGACTATAAGACTATAAGGATGATACGAATCGCATCATCCCATCTGCGCCCGTATACCAGGAGCATTGGGTTGCCACATCCTTCAGTGCCAGGTTTTAGACAACAAAATTAAAATCAAAACTGTCGTTTTCCGTGCAATAAAGAAAGAGATGCCGAAGAAACCTGGCTTCATTGGAGTTCTTAGTCTAAACAGTGGAGCTGGGTCCATAATTCTTCTAAGTCTGTAATCTATAACTATTTGAAGTCAGCCAAGAGAATTAAATCCCTTGGCCTATCTCAAGCAGATGTAGTTCTTTAGAACAGAGGGCCAACTGTGTTGACATTGCTTTAAGATATTTAGTTGAAACAATTGGCCATATGAAAGCGGAGAATCCCGGACTAACAGTGTGTCATTCTTTCCTCTGGATTCCAGCTGATTTCAACTACGTTAATGAACATCAACAGTTAAAATGCTTTAGATGATAGACCGGACACTAAATCCTGAATTAATACCGATAGCGATAAGGCTGATAGCTGCCTGCAAACACCTGGAGATTTTCACTTCCCTTAAGTCATTGTGCGCAGCCCCGGCTCTCAAACAGTTATCTCTAATTACAAATCTAGTGTTAAACTCAGTCTTCAGACGACAGCAGTACTCCTGAATCCAGGTGCTTCCGCTGGTTAAATGAAATCGAATACTTCCATGAATTCGAAAAATAGAGAATAGAAATGGCCTTAATTCCACTGTCCGTTTCAAGTAGGGGCGGCTTCTTTGTTTAGCTTGTTTAGAGTATTGAAATGAATAGTTTACTCGTATTCGGGGAATCCAAAAGCGAAGGGTGACGGTGTTGTCTCCGGATTTCAGCTGCCCTAATCCGTTTTCAGCAATTTGAGTGATGAAAAAACAATTGGAGTCGACACTAAACTCACTAAAACCCAATTCAACCGCATTTCACGGGATTTTGTTGAATCGTTGATTTTTGGTGGCTGTTTTTGCTGTCTCCTCCATTACCCAAAACCTCGACATTCATGAAGCATGACTGGGACATGCTACCCGAAGTAATCGAAACGTATCCAAGATGGTATAGGGGTGAGAGGTGCAAGTGTGGCTTGCAAACAGTCCAGGCAAGATGCTTGTCGCGGGTGCCGTGGCGGTAACCCTTGGAGATGACGCGCGTCTTCCCCATCGCTTCTCAACTCCTCTTGCGAGGCATTCATGGCTGGCTTTGTGCGAAAGGTGCCCTCTTTCTGCAAGTCACACGGGAGTAGTCGGGCCATGTGGGGCCTATAGGACTCGGAACTGCCCTCTGGAGCACAAGGAACCCTTGCTCTCATACGGGTCTAAGGAGGTAAAACTCTTTGACAACAGGAGGAATCGAAGCTCTCGCGACCCTCTGTCGCGGCAACTGTTTGATGCGGTTTGATTCAGTACATGTGGGGCCCCATGTGATGTTTAAGTAAGACATCGTAAAATGGTAGCAAGTACCAGTGCAAACACACTACTACATTTTCCCCTTCCTCTCATCTCTCATTGGAATGCATTGCTCGGTACGTCAGGTCTGCTGCAGCGCGCAAAGTTGTTTCAGAGACCGCTTGTCATAACATGATTTTTTTTTTCAAACTTGCGTTTGAATCTGCATGTCGCTGGTGATTTAATATGAAGACTATGAAGACTATTTTCGCCCTGATTTTCAAGTCTTGCTCAAGGTTCCATAGGGAAAACTGACACCTCGAAAATGGCATAGCCTTAAATTGCATCTCTGTAGAGCATTGCATCAGGAGTGAGTATAGTGATGATGACTATCTATTTGCGATAGCCTTTGCTCGCTTTTGAGTTGTCGGGATATCTTAGTTCTGCATGTCCTGTTGGTGCAGCCTTGCTCTCTTGGGACGGCGGTCAGAGAATCGTGCAAGGTTCCACAATGATCTAAAGGTTTCGATCTCAATTATTGGCATGCCTTAGTAACCTTGTGAACAGGTAGCAATGGTTACATATGGTTACACTAGGACACTAGGATCACTACTTGTAGGCACTTAGCAGCTTTATTTTTTGGCCTAATTTGTGGTGTAGTGCACTCAGGGTGACCCCCTACACTCCTTCCCCAAGCCCTGCAGGTGGCCTGAGTGGACCCGGTGGACAGCTGGCGGATGCTGTCGGGATCCCCGAGCCGGGTGGCTTTCGCGAAGCAGATGGAAAGATACAAGATACTGGCCCACAGCAAGGCATCAACAATTAAAGGGTCTTGTGGCACTGTAGGATGGGGGTGCAGATGGCTTGTGCTCAGCTAGCAAAACCATCTTTGTGTGACCGCACGTAATTTCCCGTTTTAGACGATGACTAAGCATCAGCGCGCGCTACCGACAAGGAAGCGCGCAGCATGCTCACCCAAGAACGTGCTCTGGCAAGTTCATTCGCCAAAAGGAAGGAAGGCTGCAGCATTCCAAGCATGTCTTCACTCAAAAATGCATCACATTCGTG